AACAGAAGGTTATGACATGAATTATTCACAATATTACCAATAACACGCATTTAAAATTTCAATTTCATGTTGAGCAAGCTATCTAAGAATATTAATGGTACCAATATTCTGTCACAAGCAGAATACACTTCACATACCTGAAGTCAGGGTTGTTCTTTTCTCTGCTCATGATGATGGCCTCAAACATGGGTCCCTCTCTTACCACAAACTCAATCATTCTGTGTATCAAGCCCAGCAGGTTCCTATCAGCCACAAAAGAGACAGATGAGAGAATGAACAAGGGCACTCTTTTCTTTTCTCCATTTTTCTCCATCACTCCATAATAATCCCTAAAGCCTTACCATGTCAGTTCTATCTTTTTCTTCTTTCATTTTCACTGTCTGGCAGATTGAAACTTGTATTTTGCTCTGTATTTTCTGTCCACTCCAAATAAGATTGCTTTCTGATGTTACCATGGCCCTATGAGACCGTTAAGGGAGTGTGTTTTAGTACAATGTTAGCTCCTAACGTTAGAAAAAGGCTTCTGTGTGGTGTTCTACATGTTTTCACAGTAGCAATGAATGGGTATAAAATGATTTACCGCAATTGTATTAACACACTATAGAAGTTGCTGATGTTGCTAAAGGTGGGTAACCTCAAGGCATGTAGGCTATACGTATCTGGGAGTGTATGAGTGATTTTCCTTGGTTACGATCTAAGATCAATGATGTCTTACAGTATCTTTCTGATGAACTAACCCAGTGGTCCTGGAGATCCCCCGCTCTGCACATTTTGCATGTCTCCCTTATTTAACACACCTGATTCAGATCATCAGCTCCTTAGGATCGAGTTTGTTGAATTGAACTGAGTGTGTCAGATAAGAAAGACATTGAAAATGTGCAGAGCGGGGGGGTCCCCAGGACCAATATTAAGAACCTCTGAACTAACCAATGTGATTAGGTGTCAAACTACAGGTGAGTGTGTATGTGTGTTTCAGAAGCAATGGTGTTTTAATAAATGGACAGAGAATGTGTACCTTTCTGTGGGGATTACCACTGTCACTACGGCCTCGGACAGAGTCTGTTCATGACGTCAAACCAAATGATGAAGATACAAAAATATAGTGAGTTTATATTTAAACAAACTGCAGAATATTCATGATCAATATCATCAGCAGCAGCTAAACCTCTGGAAACATGCTTCGTAAACAGACGAGTTCATCTCACCACTGCTTCTTGCTCTGTCTGAGGGACATTCTGTGTATTTAGAAACTTTGCTTTCTCTAACCTCTCTGGCTTCATTAAGGTCATGGGCTATTTTATTCCAGCTTAAAGGGGGTCATAGGATGCCCATTTTCCACAAGTTGGTATGATTTTTAGGGTCTTAATGAAAAGTCTGTAACATAGTTTGGTTAAAATTTCTCAATGGTAGTGTAAAAAACACCTTTTTTACCCTGTCAAAAACAGCTCTTTTCAGAGCATGCAGATTTATAGCATTCTGCTTTAAATATTAATGAGCTCTGCTGACCCCGCCCCTCTCTTCCGAGCCACTCTCCTAGAGACTGTTTACTTTAGCTGCATTCATCGTGAAACTTGCTAATTAGCACATTATTATGAAAGGCGATTTGCAAAGATTCGTTAAAAAAACCTTACAGAGAATGTGTACCTTTCTGTGGGGATTACCACTGTCACTACGGCCTCGGACAGAGTCTGTTCATGACGTCAAACCAAATGATGAAGATACAAAAATATAGTGAGTTTATATTTAAACAAACTGCAGAATATTCATGATCAATATCATCAGCAGCAGCTAAACCTCTGGAAACATGCTTCGTAAACAGACGAGTTCATCTCACCACTGCTTCTTGCTCTGTCTGAGGGACATTCTGTGTATTTAGAAACTTTGCTTTCTCTAACCTCTCTGGCTTCATTAAGGTCATGGGCTATTTTATTCCAGCTTAAAGGGGGTCATAGGATGCCCATTTTCCACAAGTTGGTATGATTTTTAGGGTCTTAATGAAAAGTCTGTAACATAGTTTGGTTAAAATTTCTCAATGGTAGTGTAAAAAACACCTTTTTTACCCTGTCAAAAACAGCTCTTTTCAGAGCATGCAGATTTATAGCATTCTGCTTTAAATATTAATGAGCTCTGCTGACCCCGCCCCTCTCTTCCGAGCCACTCTCCTAGAGACTGTTTACTTTAGCTGCATTCATCGTGAAACTTGCTAATTAGCACATTATTATGAAAGGCGATTTGCAAAGATTCGTTAAAAAAACCTTACAGAGAATGTGTACCTTTCTGTGGGGATTACCACTGTCACTACGGCCTCGGACAGAGTCTGTTCATGACGTCAAACCAAATGATGAAGATACAAAAATATAGTGAGTTTATATTTAAACAAACTGCAGAATATTCATGATCAATATCATCAGCAGCAGCTAAACCTCTGGAAACATGCTTCGTAAACAGACGAGTTCATCTCACCACTGCTTCTTGCTCTGTCTGAGGGACATTCTGTGTATTTAGAAACTTTGCTTTCTCTAACCTCTCTGGCTTCATTAAGGTCATGGGCTATTTTATTCCAGCTTAAAGGGGGTCATAGGATGCCCATTTTCCACAAGTTGGTATGATTTTTAGGGTCTTAATGAAAAGTCTGTAACATAGTTTGGTTAAAATTTCTCAATGGTAGTGTAAAAAACACCTTTTTTACCCTGTCAAAAACAGCTCTTTTCAGAGCATGCAGATTTATAGCATTCTGCTTTAAATATTAATGAGCTCTGCTGACCCCGCCCCTCTCTTCCGAGCCACTCTCCTAGAGACTGTTTACTTTAGCTGCATTCATCGTGAAACTTGCTAATTAGCACATTATTATGAAAGGCGATTTGCAAAGATTCGTTAAAAAAACCTTACAGAGAATGTGTACCTTTCTGTGGGGATTACCACTGTCACTACGGCCTCGGACAGAGTCTGTTCATGACGTCAAACCAAATGATGAAGATACAAAAATATAGTGAGTTTATATTTAAACAAACTGCAGAATATTCATGATCAATATCATCAGCAGCAGCTAAACCTCTGGAAACATGCTTCGTAAACAGACGAGTTCATCTCACCACTGCTTCTTGCTCTGTCTGAGGGACATTCTGTGTATTTAGAAACTTTGCTTTCTCTAACCTCTCTGGCTTCATTAAGGTCATGGGCTATTTTATTCCAGCTTAAAGGGGGTCATAGGATGCCCATTTTCCACAAGTTGGTATGATTTTTAGGGTCTTAATGAAAAGTCTGTAACATAGTTTGGTTAAAATTTCTCAATGGTAGTGTAAAAAACACCTTTTTTACCCTGTCAAAAACAGCTCTTTTCAGAGCATGCAGATTTATAGCATTCTGCTTTAAATATTAATGAGCTCTGCTGACCCCGCCCCTCTCTTCCGAGCCACTCTCCTAGAGACTGTTTACTTTAGCTGCATTCATCGTGAAACTTGCTAATTAGCACATTATTATGAAAGGCGATTTGCAAAGATTCGTTAAAAAAACCTTACAGAGAATGTGTACCTTTCTGTGGGGATTACCACTGTCACTACGGCCTCGGACAGAGTCTGTTCATGACGTCAAACCAAATGATGAAGATACAAAAATATAGTGAGTTTATATTTAAACAAACTGCAGAATATTCATGATCAATATCATCAGCAGCAGCTAAACCTCTGGAAACATGCTTCGTAAACAGACGAGTTCATCTCACCACTGCTTCTTGCTCTGTCTGAGGGACATTCTGTGTATTTAGAAACTTTGCTTTCTCTAACCTCTCTGGCTTCATTAAGGTCATGGGCTATTTTATTCCAGCTTAAAGGGGGTCATAGGATGCCCATTTTCCACAAGTTGGTATGATTTTTAGGGTCTTAATGAAAAGTCTGTAACATAGTTTGGTTAAAATTTCTCAATGGTAGTGTAAAAAACACCTTTTTTACCCTGTCAAAAACAGCTCTTTTCAGAGCATGCAGATTTATAGCATTCTGCTTTAAATATTAATGAGCTCTGCTGACCCCGCCCCTCTCTTCCGAGCCACTCTCCTAGAGACTGTTTACTTTAGCTGCATTCATCGTGAAACTTGCTAATTAGCACATTATTATGAAAGGCGATTTGCAAAGATTCGTTAAAAAAACCTTACAGAGAATGTGTACCTTTCTGTGGGGATTACCACTGTCACTACGGCCTCGGACAGAGTCTGTTCATGACGTCAAACCAAATGATGAAGATACAAAAATATAGTGAGTTTATATTTAAACAAACTGCAGAATATTCATGATCAATATCATCAGCAGCAGCTAAACCTCTGGAAACATGCTTCGTAAACAGACGAGTTCATCTCACCACTGCTTCTTGCTCTGTCTGAGGGACATTCTGTGTATTTAGAAACTTTGCTTTCTCTAACCTCTCTGGCTTCATTAAGGTCATGGGCTATTTTATTCCAGCTTAAAGGGGGTCATAGGATGCCCATTTTCCACAAGTTGGTATGATTTTTAGGGTCTTAATGAAAAGTCTGTAACATAGTTTGGTTAAAATTTCTCAATGGTAGTGTAAAAAACACCTTTTTTACCCTGTCAAAAACAGCTCTTTTCAGAGCATGCAGATTTATAGCATTCTGCTTTAAATATTAATGAGCTCTGCTGACCCCGCCCCTCTCTTCCGAGCCACTCTCCTAGAGACTGTTTACTTTAGCTGCATTCATCGTGAAACTTGCTAATTAGCACATTATTATGAAAGGCGATTTGCAAAGATTCGTTAAAAAAACCTTACAGAGAATGTGTACCTTTCTGTGGGGATTACCACTGTCACTACGGCCTCGGACAGAGTCTGTTCATGACGTCAAACCAAATGATGAAGATACAAAAATATAGTGAGTTTATATTTAAACAAACTGCAGAATATTCATGATCAATATCATCAGCAGCAGCTAAACCTCTGGAAACATGCTTCGTAAACAGACGAGTTCATCTCACCACTGCTTCTTGCTCTGTCTGAGGGACATTCTGTGTATTTAGAAACTTTGCTTTCTCTAACCTCTCTGGCTTCATTAAGGTCATGGGCTATTTTATTCCAGCTTAAAGGGGGTCATAGGATGCCCATTTTCCACAAGTTGGTATGATTTTTAGGGTCTTAATGAAAAGTCTGTAACATAGTTTGGTTAAAATTTCTCAATGGTAGTGTAAAAAACACCTTTTTTACCCTGTCAAAAACAGCTCTTTTCAGAGCATGCAGATTTATAGCATTCTGCTTTAAATATTAATGAGCTCTGCTGACCCCGCCCCTCTCTTCCGAGCCACTCTCCTAGAGACTGTTTACTTTAGCTGCATTCATCGTGAAACTTGCTAATTAGCACATTATTATGAAAGGCGATTTGCAAAGATTCGTTAAAAAAACCTTACAGAGAATGTGTACCTTTCTGTGGGGATTACCACTGTCACTACGGCCTCGGACAGAGTCTGTTCATGACGTCAAACCAAATGATGAAGATACAAAAATATAGTGAGTTTATATTTAAACAAACTGCAGAATATTCATGATCAATATCATCAGCAGCAGCTAAACCTCTGGAAACATGCTTCGTAAACAGACGAGTTCATCTCACCACTGCTTCTTGCTCTGTCTGAGGGACATTCTGTGTATTTAGAAACTTTGCTTTCTCTAACCTCTCTGGCTTCATTAAGGTCATGGGCTATTTTATTCCAGCTTAAAGGGGGTCATAGGATGCCCATTTTCCACAAGTTGGTATGATTTTTAGGGTCTTAATGAAAAGTCTGTAACATAGTTTGGTTAAAATTTCTCAATGGTAGTGTAAAAAACACCTTTTTTACCCTGTCAAAAACAGCTCTTTTCAGAGCATGCAGATTTATAGCATTCTGCTTTAAATATTAATGAGCTCTGCTGACCCCGCCCCTCTCTTCCGAGCCACTCTCCTAGAGACTGTTTACTTTAGCTGCATTCATCGTGAAACTTGCTAATTAGCACATTATTATGAAAGGCGATTTGCAAAGATTCGTTAAAAAAACCTTACAGAGAATGTGTACCTTTCTGTGGGGATTACCACTGTCACTACGGCCTCGGACAGAGTCTGTTCATGACGTCAAACCAAATGATGAAGATACAAAAATATAGTGAGTTTATATTTAAACAAACTGCAGAATATTCATGATCAATATCATCAGCAGCAGCTAAACCTCTGGAAACATGCTTCGTAAACAGACGAGTTCATCTCACCACTGCTTCTTGCTCTGTCTGAGGGACATTCTGTGTATTTAGAA